TACAACCAGTGGAAGGGAGGAGCTATCACCAAGGAGGAGTACTCCTTGGTCCATGAGTATAGGAGGGCTATTAGGAAGGCCAAGGTAGAGATGGAACTCAGGCTAGCGTCCAGGATTAAGGACAACAAAAAGTTCTCTTTCAAGTACATTGGGAGCAAGAAGGGGGCACCAGGCAATGTAGGGCCCCTGCAAGATGCAAATGGTAATCTTGTGGCTACGCCAGACAAGAAAGCTGATATTTTTAACAGTTTCTTTGCCTCTGTTTTCTTGAACAGGGACTGAGACATCCCTCCCACCTACCAGAGGTAGGGACTATCTCGGGGATAGCTCTGTCAGACCCTCAGTCAGTGCAGATGTAGTTAGGGATCTTCTGGAAGGGCTAGACATTTTTAAATCTGCAGATCCAGATGCCCTCCACCCAAGGGTGTTGAGGGAGCTGCCAGGGGTACACGCGGAGCCCTTGGTCATCTGGAGCATTTGTAGTCATCTGGCCAGGTGCTGGGGGATTGGAAACTGGCTAATGTTCGAATGTTCAAGAAAGGCAGGAAGGAGGACCCAAGTAACTATAGGCCTGTAAGCCTCACCTTGGTGCTCGGGAAGATCTTGGAGAGAATCATCAAGGAGCATATCTGTGGGGGGCCTGCAGGGGAGATCATGCTCAGGAGCAACCAGCATGGGTTCATCAAAGGCAGGTCCTGCCTGACCAACCTGATTGCCTTTTATGACCAAGTAACTAGATCCTTGGACGATGGTGTCACCGTGGATGTAGTCTTTCTAGACTTTAAGAAGGCCTTTGACACTGTCTCTCACCCCATCCTAATCAATAAATTAAGCGACTGTGACATTGATGCCTACACAGTTGGATGGGTAAAAAATTGGCTGATGGGGAGCACCCAGAGAGTAGTGGTGGATGGGTTGTACTCAACCTGGCAAGATGTGAGCAGTGGGGTACCCCAGGGCTCGGTCCTCAGGCCCACACTGTTTAACATCTTCATCAGTGGCTTGGACGAGGGGGTGGAAAGCACTCTGTCCAAGTTTGCTGATGACACTAAGATGTGGGGCAAGGTGGACACACTTGAAGGGAGAGAGAGGCTGCAACTAGATTTAGACAGACTACAAAAGTGGGCAGACGAGAATAGGATAGGGTTCAACGTAGACAAATGCAGGGTGTTGCACCTTGGGAGAAGGAATCCACAGCGTACATACAGGCTGGGGAGTTCCCTTCTTGAAAGCACAGAGGTGGAACGGGATCTTGGAGTCATTATTGACTCCAAGATGAACATGAGCCGCCAACGCCAGACTGCAGCCAGTAAGGCCGGCCATACCTTGTCATGCATCCAAAGGTGCATCTCAAGCCGGTCCAGAGAGGTGATACTCCTCCTCTCTGTGACTTTGGTGAGGCCGCAGTTGGAGTACTGAGTCCAGTTCTGGGCACCGCACTTCAAGAGGGATGTGGCCAGCCTGGAGAGGGTTCAGAGGAGGGCCACCCGCTTGGTGAGAGGGCAGCAGGACAGGCCCTATGAGGAGAGACTGAGGGACCTGAACCTGTTCAGCCTCAGCAAGAGGAGGCTGAGGGGGGACTTGGTGGCTGCCTACAAACTCATCAGGGGAGATCAACAGCAAATAGGTAGAGCCCTATTCTCCCCAGCACCACCTGGGGTGACGAGGAACAATGGTAAGAAGCTGATGGAGAATAGGTTTAGGTTAGAGATCAGGAGGCAATATTTTACTAGGGTGGCCAAAATCTGGAACCAACTTCCTAGGGAAGTGGTCCTTGCCCCTACCTTGGGCAAATTCAAGAGGAGGTTGGACAATCTCCTGTCTGGGGTCTTGTGAACCCAGCATTCATTCCTGCCTGTGGCAGGGGGGCAAGCTAGATGATCTGTTCAGGTCCCTCCTGACCCTAGCTACTATGAAACTATAAATTATATGTTCATGCTTCTCCAGCTGATTGATATTAACTTTATTTTTTGCAACTCCAGTCCCAGGTTTTCATTAAGCTATATTAATTCACTATCCCCTTTTCTCAAGTGTTTCTTCTCCCTGGCTTCTCCATCTGCTATCATAGACTTAAGGGGGGAAAGTAAGAGTTACAACGAGTAGTGTGCAACCTAAGAAGTCATAAAAACTTGGTTTTCCAGGTTGCTGAGGACCTGTAGCTCTCATTGACTTCATTGCCATGGTTGTGAGTTCTCAGGATTGGTGAAAATCATCCTAGTGGCCAGATCTGCTCCTGATATAATGGGCACAACTTCATTGACTTCCACACAGCTGCATCCATTTATATCTTCCAAGGATCAGGCTCTAAGTATCTGGAGGCATCTTGACTTCTGGTTAAATTGGAGGAGACAAACTTTGCCTCTTCCCTTAGTGGCAGGGAGTACCTCTGTACATGGGTGGATAAGGATGGAAGGGGACATAGATTCATAGATGTTAGGGTCAGAAGAGACCTCAATAGATCATCGAGTCCGACCCCCTGCATAGGCAGGAAAGAG